ATATGTTATCTGCCAACTTAGATTTTTTCATTGAAAAATAGATGCAATGTTTATACCAAAATATTTCTGATTTAATTTTGAGAATCATACATAAAAGCGTTCATATGTGTCCAAATCCTTCATATTTATTGTTTTCATTTCTTTTCTTTTTCTATGTTCCATTACTGACCTCTACTGAGCATTAAGTAGATTGTACAAGAAAAACTTTAAATGTCTATTTTGATAGGTTTTCTTTCTCCTAGTTACTATTTCTCCACAAAGATAAACTTTTATTAAAATGATTACATCGAAGGCTGGCCTAGAAAATAAGTATTATTTTATAATATGAATATAATAATTATAATATTTTATTATTTAATAGAAAATAAGACCTGCCAAAGATGTGGAGAAATTGGAACCTTCGTACTTCATTGATGAGAATGTAACATGGTGCAGCCTTTGTGCAAAAGAGGTTGGTGGTTCTTTAACAACTTAATTACAGAGTCTCTACATGACCTGGCAGTTCTACACCTAGTATACACTCAAAAGGATTTTTAAAAGGTGCTCAAACAAAAATTTGTACAAGAATGTTCATACACCACAACTTTCAATAATGATATTCTTCAATGGATGATAGACCAACAAAATGCATTGTATATATACTATGGAATATGCTCCAATCAGAAAAAAGAATGAAGTGGTCAGCCCTTCACAAGCTACCATCTGTGGATTCAACCAACCACAACTTGAAAATATTCAGAGGAAAAAAATTCTGGAAACTTTTAAGAAGCAAAGTTTGAATTTGCTACATGTGGATACTACATAAAATCCATGCAAATGAAAGTGTATGGACATTTACTGGGTACTGTAAGTAAATACTGGATATTATTTAAAGTCTATGGGAGGCTGTCCACAGGTTATATATAAATACTCTGCCATTTCATATAAAAAAAGAGTGCATTCATTAGTGTGGGTGTCTGCAGGGATTCAGGAGTCAATTCCCTACAGAGACCAAGAGACAACTGTACTGGTACAGACTATTATGAATGGACATTGAAAACATCATGCTAAGTGAATGAAATCATATTAAAAGTCTAATTGCATGAGACCAACAGTTAGCGTGATGGCTGTGTCTCTGGACTCCCATGAAGTTGACTGCGGTTTGAGTACCGGACCCGGTGGATTATACTCACACCAGGCGCATGTGTGTGCATGCCCAAGATCCCGAGAGGAGAATGGAGGAGAAGGGATTGTAGCATGGCCATACCCATGGGGGGTCGGGGGGAGTGATTTCTCACTTTCTGTCTCTCTCTCTCTGTCTTTCCGGTGAGTGCACATGCCCTATAGCAAAAACCTCTTCAAAAAAAAAGTCTAATTGTATAATTCCATTTCTTTGAAATATCTAGAATAAACAAATCCAGTAAGACAGAAAACAGATTAGTGTTACCAGGGATCTTAGAGAAATGGGGGATAGAGAGTGACAGATTAATGAGTCCATTTGAGGTCATAAAAAAATCCTATAACTTGGCCCAGCCACGGTACCGTGGTTAAGGAAACTGGATCCCTCACGGCCAACCATGTGGTTTGAGTCCCAGGTGCTCGAGAAACACGCCTAGAGCACATACGTGTGTGCCCAAAATCCAGAATGGGGGGAAAGACAAAGGAGAGGGGATTACAATGTGACCATTTCTCATGGGGAATGCTTGCTTACTCTTTTTCCCATGCACCCTCTGACAAACCTAAAAAAAAAAAAAAGAAAAGAAACCTTGAACAAGGCAGTAATGTTGATCACACTATATTGTGAAGGCACTTAAAGCTACTGAACTATATCATTTTAAATAGTTAAAAAGGTAAGTTGAGGACCAGGCCCTGTAGAGCAGTGTTTAGGCACAGTGCATCAGGGGCCAGATACCACATGGATCACTGAGGTTCAAATCCTGGCCCTGGTGGTTTAGAAGACACTCTAGTGCATGTGCTCAAAATTCTGATGGGATGAAGAAATGGAGGAAAAAGTATTGCAGTGGGACCACCACACATTAGAGGATGTTTTTATCTCTTTCTCTCTCTTTGCATGTGCCCTATAGAAATTAAAGGAAAAAAATGGCAAACTTTGTATTATGTACATTTTAGTCATTTTTTAAATGAAGCAGAAATGTTTCAAAGTTTCTTTTTACAAATATTTACTCTTGTATTCCCCTTGGTCTTTACTTAAAGCTTTTAAAACCCTAAGTCAATCTTTTCTCCACCTAAGCAGAATTTACTCAAGGCCCAGTAGGTGAGATATTCCATTGTAAAATGGGCTGTTTTCAGCTCCTAGACTTGTACATGAGGAGGACTTCAAAGTCTGATTCCTATAGTGACACCCGGGTTATTTTCTACTGTAAATCATTGTGTTTAAATGACCTTCTGCTAAAACCTCAAATCACCAACAATGTAAATAGCTGAGTGATGGGTAATTTTCCAAGGATTGCGAGAGACTGTGTAACTGGAGATCATTTGTTCTCTGCTGGCCTTGGGGGTGAATTGCCAATGCAGGAACTGCACGTGGGAAGTTTGCCACTGCATGTCCTTGGGGAGGTGAATGCAAAGCTGCTCCTTGAAAATTTAACTTTTAATCTGCAAGCAAAGTTTATGGCTCATAAAATTACAATTATACATTTATAAGTAGATTAAGCTGTGTAAGATGTGCAGCTGGAAAACCATGCCAGAGCTTAAGTTTATGGCACTTTTTTGTGCTTGCTTGAAACCAATTGGCCCAATAGGCCAGTATAGTTTAGCACCTTGAAGCTCAGCTTCACCCTGGCCCCAAATAATGTGCCCTCATATTGCCCATTATGACCGCAAACAGGCAGACTGAGTTAATGCCAAGTATAAGAAATACACAAGGGGTCTTTAAAATTTTTATAAAAAACTTATGCATGGATTTCAAAAATCACATGCACCAAAATAAACACATTTTAATTCCATTTTTTCACAAACATTTTGAAGTCCTCTCGTATTACCTTCATTAAATTCTATCACTACTCAAACATTTACAGTACTAGAGAGAGCAGGTGTCTGTATAAGAGGAGACACACAGGATCCTCATGAGTTACATAATAGACTGACAAGCTGCTGCCAGAAAGCACATGATCAGAGTCACATCACAGATGAGGAGCTCTGCCAGGCAAGTAGCCGAGAGGCTATGGAGTGTACCATGGAGTATACCTATGGAGGGGCCATGGAGTGTACCTGCAAGGACTCCCAGGAAGTGGGTGTCTGAAAGCATCGAAGGAAGAGAAGGTGTCCCCTTGATTCTCTTCTGCAGGGATGACTCAGGTTTTCTCACCTCATTGTGGTGGAGACCTTACGCTGGATGCACCTCCACCACTCTGACAGAGACTGACAGCTAAGTGGGAAGACTGAAGGGTAGCAGTGTGTGTGCACGTATATGTGATTGTGCCCACATTCATGTGCATGCAAGCATGCACCGGTAAGGCATCAACACACACCTGTAGCACTATTAGATGTTCACTCTCTACTCCTCTTAACCCCACCTTCTAAAACTTGTCTAATTTAAATCTAAACACAATTTGTCACAGAAAAAAAAAAAAAAAACAAGTTAGCCCCTTCTGCTAGAGATAGCCCAGAAAAACATTTTACTATTTCTTGGTTATCTGAATAAAAATCAAGCATCCAGCTTTCTGGCCTGCCTCGGCCCGTGAGGTAAAGAGACGTGGAACCCTAGGTAGAAGTGTGCAGTGGATTGAGAAAGAGCAGACAGACTGACTGACAAGTAGAGAACGCGGGAATCGGGCAGACCAGGTATGTCTGATGAAGAATGCCACGGCCCTGCGTCATTCCCAGGTTTATTCTTTTGTACAGCAACGGGGGAGGGAGAAGCTGCAGGTAAAGCCAGGTATTTCCTAGTGTCACGGCTGTGGAGCATCTTGTGTCCTGTGGTTCTTGCATCTCATGGTTCTAAACAAGTTTCCCCTGGCCTTCTCTGGCTGACATTCAGTTTCTTTTCATTTATACTGCCCTGCAGTGCAACAGTAGATCATGTCTCCGTGAGGGTTTTGCTTGCCCTGCAGCATCAGCACAAAGACCATATCTACCTTAAAGGTCACTCGTGCTGGAAAGAGGAAAGGAAAGGAGGAATGGGAGAGTGATGGCTGCTGCGGTCGCTGTTTGCAGTGGTCTAGGGAGGACAAAGTTGACACACTTGGCAACAACTGCTGTCTGCGCTAAAGGTCCCGGGGCTCACGAGGTGCTGTGGAGAAGAGGTTGTTCACAATATAGACAGGAAACCGGCAATGAAGACCTGTCTGTTCCAGTGGAAAATCCTTAGAAGGAACCTGTTAAAAAATGTATCTTATGTGAGAAACGTGTAGATTATAAGGATGTACAGCTTCCGTCCCAGTTTATTTCTCCACTTACTGGATGCATTTATGGAAGGCACATAACAGGTCTTTGTGGGAAGAAACAGAAAGAAGTCTCAGAAGCAATTAAGAGAGCTCAAATAATGGGGGTTATGCCAGTTACATACAAGGATCCTAAACTTTGTAACATTAAATATTGAAAAAAAATCGCAAAAGGTTTTTACCAATAAATTTATTTTACAATGTGGTTCTATGATGCTATTACTACTTCAGAAGAAACTTTGGGTAGAAAAGTGGTTCAGAAATGACACTTCCCTTCCAAATGTTCACTAAATATAAAGGTTATTTAAAATGTGTCATATTTTTGGAACTGGTAGGTGGTGTGGGAGTTAAAGTGTTAGATTTCCACATGACTGATTATGGTTCAAGTCCCGGATCTGGCAGTTTAGTTTGCTTACTCACTTTCCCTCTTTCTTGAGCTCTCTCTCTAGTCAAATTAAAATAAGTAAATAAATGAAATTAAATAAACAATTCTAAAAAAAAATTATTGCATGTCTCCGTGAGGGTTTTGCTTGCCCTGCAGCATCAGCACAAAGACCATATCTACCTTAAAGGTCACTCGTGCTGGAAAGAGGAAAGGAAAGGAGGAATGGGAGAGTGATGGCTGCTGCGGTCGCTGTTTGCAGTGGTCTAGGGAGGACAAAGTTGACACACTTGGCAACAACTGCTGTCTGCGCTAAAGGTCCCGGGGCTCACGAGGTGCTGTGGAGAAGAGGTTGTTCACAACATAGACAGGAAACCGGCAATGAAGACCTGTCTGTTCCAGTGGAAAATCCTTAGAAGGAACCTGTTAAAAAATGTATCTTATGTGAGAAACGTGTAGATTATAAGGATGTACAGCTTCCGTCCCAGTTTATTTCTCCACTTACTGGATGCATTTATGGAAGGCACATAACAGGTCTTTGTGGGAAGAAACAGAAAGAAGTCTCAGAAGCAATTAAGAGAGCTCAAATAATGGGGGTTATGCCAATTACATACAAGGATCCTGCCTATTGCAAAGACCCTAAACTTTGTAACATTAAATATTGAAAAAAAATTGCAAAAGGTTATTACCAATAAATTTATTTTACAATGTGGTTGTATGATGCTATTACTACTTCAGAAGAAACTTTGGGTAGAAAAGATAAATAAAGATTCCTCAAATTAAGTTTTAAATCCCTACAAAACTGTATAAGTATCATTCTTTATTAGACCCATAAAAACTAATATCTATACTTGAGATTTTCTTTTCTCAGCACCATTCCCGGTAATCACAAGATGGCTGCTACGCCGCATCAGCTGATAATCATCTCTGCTTACCGGAACCGCTTTCCCGAAACTGCATTCCATGGAGACCCACCTACAATTGCGGAACTGCACTAGACCCACCCTTAATCCAGCCCTAAATAGAATCTATGCTCTAATGTTAAAACTCTATGAGCTGATAATTGAAACACGTAGTCCCTCTTCCATTTACTTGCATGTAACACGTTTTCAATAAAAACGCACGATGATTCCTAGCAGTTGTCACCCCTCAGAGAGCGATCTTTGAGGGGTGTCCGGCAAAGGACGTGCATGAAAAGGCACTGAGGCCTTTGTCTTCTGTTCACCTTCGCTGCCTCTGTCGAGATAACCCACCCACGCCGAGGCTGGACCCCGGCACCCTACATCTCCTCCTTTTTCTAATTTGAATCCATGGAGCTGGGTAGCTGCTGTGTGGAGTTTTCGCTGGATGATTTTTCGGATTGTGTAGTCAATATACTAATCACAGCAACAAAGTAATAAAGAAGCTGTAATTGACACTCTTTTGCCATTTACTAATTGTTCTGCTCTCTCGGTCAGACAATCTGTCGGGGATTGGACTACCTGTGTCGAATATTTTCTGTGTCTTATTTTCTTCTTTGCTTTCTTGGGTACTTTGTCCAGATTCAGGTCCTACATCCCCTCCCACATCTGTTTCATTGGTTTATTCTCTGCTTATTCCATCGTCCATTGGTGTCACAAGGTGAACTGGAACCCACACTGGTTTCTGTGATGATTCTGGACAAGTAGAAGCACACCCTCGACCTGGCGCTAATACTGGGCTGGGTCCATTCCACTCTCCTGAACTGAGATCTTTCCATTTTTCATATTGAGCTTTAGCTTTTTCTATCCCTTGGTAATGAATTTCCACAACTGTTAAGCCCTCTGATGTGGTATTCAAAAAAATGAAAGAATATAAAGCAAGAGAGAATTTAGAATGAGGAGTTGCAGGGATTACCCTGGCTCGTCCTTTTGCTTTTTCTCCTTGAGTTTTTAAATGTTGGTTGGCCCTTTCTACTATTGCTTGACTTTGAGGTTTGTAAGGTATGCCCGTAGTAAGAAGAACATGGAAAGTTACAAAGCTGTCGAGAAGCTTTACTAGTGTAAGCTGAGCCATTGTCAGTCTCTGTATCTCTCGGTTTTCCCATTACTGCTATCGCCGCAAGGAAATGTGTGATTACATGTTTGACCACTTCTCCTATTAAAGGAGAAGTGAAAATGAAACTCAAATAAGCATCGATAGATAAGGACCTTTGTCACCCGAAGGGGGCACAATGAGTTACATCCATTTGCCAAGTGTGATTAGGGGCTAAACCTCTAGGGTTAACTCCCACAGGAAGAGAGGGAAGAAAAGGAGAATCCAGGCAATTTTTGGCAATGTTTTGTGCTTGTTGTCTAGAAAGTTGTTTCTGTAGGGTAGCAGCATTTTGGTGGAAAGGGTTATGTGAGTGTTTAGCCTGATCTTCAGGAGTTTCTGAGATAATGCTAAAAGATGAGCATTGGATTAATGGTTTCCAAAAGTAAGGGCTCCAGGGACGTTAGAATGAGCTCTTACATGACCAACAAAGAGTGGGAATTTTTGTTTTCATAACAGATTTTGGATTTGCAGAAAAGCATGAAAAAGGCTTTCCTGTGATATATTACCAAGAATAGCAGTTTCCATTTTTTTTAATAACTGAGACTACATAAAATCTGTCTGACTAGATATTTACAGCCTGATACGGGAACTCTGTTAAGACAGTTTTCGCAGAGCAAAGTTCTGCATGCTGGGCAGAGCAAGATGAGTTATATATAACTATTGTTTTGTGACCAATATCCTGCACGCCCACTACTAGACCTGTCAGTAAATACCACTATAGCATTTGAAATAGGCTTAGGTGAAACTACTTTGAGAAAAAAAAAAAAAAGAAGTTGTACAGACAAACTGTACTATAGGATCTGAAGGGTAACGACAATCAACCTATCCAGGAAAGTTAGCAAAAGCTATTTGCCAGCCAATATCTAATCGGCATTGTGTGTGCTGCTGTTCTTTGGAGAAAAGAACCACTATAGATTGAGGCTTATGTCTTAATAGTTAGATGCTGTGTGCTCATCCTTTTATTATAAATGCAGCTACTACTCTAGGAAATGACTAGAAGATTGTAAGGAAATGATTGAAGATGTAACTTTTCAAGGACCCTCCCCCCCCGCCCCGAGGTTACCAAATAGCCCCAGTGGGTGTATGTGAGGTTGGGAAAATTAGGATGGTTATAGGCAAGTCTGTGTCTTCTTGTGACAAACAAGCGTTTTGAATGACTAGTTCTATAATTCAAGCTCTATCTTACCATCTGAGGTAAGCTCTTGAGGAAAAACAGGGCACAGATCTCCGTTTCAGATGTCAAAAAGTGGTCACAGTTGGCTAGTGGTTAGCTTTAAGCTGGATCATAGCCAATTAATGTTTCCTAATGAACATTGTTTCCTTCTGAACATCATTTAATGTTTTTCTTTTGAGGAGGTTTTTTTTGGGAGGGGGTTGGTTTTTTGTTTGTTTGTTTGTTTGTTTGTTTTGCTATAGGGCACATGTGCTCACCAGACAGACAAAAAGAGACAGAGAGACAGAAAGCGAGAAATCACCCACCAGGGGGGATGACCACGCCTCAATCCCTTCTCCTCCATTCTCCTTTCAGGATCTTGGGCACGCACGCACATGCGCCCGGCGTGAGTTTAAGCCACCGGGTCCAGGACATGAACCACGGTCGACTACATGGGAGTCCAGCGACATAGCCATTACACTAACTGCTGGTCCCCATCATTTAATGTTTTTAAGGAATCTATTCTATTTGAAACCTTCTGAGGATGAATTTGTTTGCCAGAGATAATATGTTTTAAGTTATTAAAAGAAACTATTGTACCTTTTTAGTCCCCATTGTCGTAGCCTCAGTTGGGTCTCCTCGCACAGTTTTAACAAGTTGTGTGGCTCAGAGGAGGCCAGAAGAATGTCATCTATGTAATGAATAGTGTAGCAGTCAAGACATTGTTGTCTTATACTGAGAAGGGCTTCCCCAACAAAATGCTGACATAAAGCTAGACTATTGCACATGCCCTGTGCCAAAATATTCCATTGCTGTCTAGCTGAAGGTTCTCTATGGTTAGTGAAGGGCACAGAAAAACAAAACATTGGCAATCTTTAGGATGCAATAGAATAATATAGAAACAATCTTTAAGGTCTAATACAATCAAATGAAAGCAGAGAGGAATGGCTGTAGGACTAGGAAGACCAAGTTACAGTGGTCTCATTACTTGCATGGTGGCATTGACCTTTCCTAAATCTTGTAATAACCTCCATTTTCCAGATTTTTTCTGAATTACAAAAATAGGAGAGTTCCAAGGACTAAAAGAAAGTTCAATGTGTCTAAACTTGAGCCGTTTTTGAACAAGTTGTCTAGCTGTCTCAAATTTTTCCCCATTTAGGGATCATTGGTGAACCCAGATGGGCTCCTCTGAAAATCAGTTTATTAGAGCAGTAGTCCTAATGGTTGGGGGATCTGCCAAGATCCCTATCTGAAATTCGTATCTGAGTACTCTAATCCTTTGTTGTCTAAATTTTGGAATGTTGGGACATGGGGTCATCACTCCTGGCCATCTTTCCCAGACCTTGAACTGGTAGAAGACCCTGGTCCAGCATCATGTGTGTCACAGGTAAAAAGACTACATAAACACAATTCTATTTTTTGAAGTACATCTCATCCCCATAAATTCAAAAATACATCAGACACAACACAAGGTTGAAACTGTCCCATATGACCTTCCACATCTGTTCAAGTAAGAATAGCAGAACTCTTTTTTGGTGAATTAACGTGTCCTGCCCCTTCAAATGCAGAGTTAGTAAAATTACAGGGCCAATGTTTTTTGGCTATTACTGAAATATCAGTGCCAATATCTAAAAGTCCTTGAAATCTTCATCCTTGTATGATTAAAGTATACATGGGTCAAGTCTCTTGGAACGCTTGAAGAAGGTAGGCCTGGTCCAAGGATGTAAATCCTTGTTGTCCTCTAGGCTCTATAGTCGACACCTGTCCTTTTAAGTCTACAGGCAATAGCACAAGTTGTGCCACGTGGTCAGATTCAAGAAGCTGAATAATTTGAGAGGCTGAAGCTAAAACCCTCATCTCACCCAAATAATCTGCATTTATTACATCTGAGGTCACTATCAATCCTTTTAATGACACACTATTTCTTCCCAAAATTAATCCTTCCATGCCCTGTGGCAAAGGTCCATAAAGTCCAGTAGGAATCACCAGTGGACCCATACTAGGTGTCATTACCCACCTGGAGGGGCACTGAGGTCTTATCCTGCACTACCTGAGGTTGTCCAATAGAGATTTCTGATTGTAGCTGGCAAATGTCCTCTCTTTGGATCTCTGGTTGGGTGGTGTCCAAAGGGACACCACAGCTGCCTCTACTATTTGGCAGGGCCAGTGCTAACACGAGTTCCCATTTTCCTGGGGTGAATGAGGCTTTCCATCTATGTCTGTTCCGGACCTGCATACACCAGCCTAATGGCTACCTCTCTGGCAGCGGGGACGTGTTCCTGGCACTTGCATTGGGCTCCTTTGTATTTTAGCAATGGAAATTTCCAATCGTTTTGGCATGTGACCATCCTGAACAAAGTGTCCTGTTCTCCCACAGTCAAAGCAACTACTTTTTGACTTATTTTGAGTCATTTTCATAAAAACCCCCCTGCCATAGCCATACCCTGTTTTACAACT